GTGCAGCATTGCTTGTGTTGCCAATAATCCAAGCAGGGATTGGAGCATTGTGGAAAAAAAACTATGGAGAGGGATTCTGATGCTGCAGGGACAGTTTATAAAGAAGAGAGTATAATGTATGGGAACAGAGATAAACTATATTTTATGGAACAACTTCTTACCATTAGCAAAAAATACTCTCCCCTCCTCAACTTAAGATAACTATCCTATTTCTTTTTCTCTGAGTAACTGCAATTCGCAAGTAGGACATAGGAAAGGACTTGTGGCTGTTTGCGCTGCCTAGAAGGGAGCTGTAAACTCCGCTGTGCTGAGAGATCCTCCAAGTTATCGCTACGGCTTTGTACGCTTAGGTTTACAACAGAGGACGGCTTTCTCGTACTTTTAAGTTCCCTGAGAGAGGGCAACGTGGAAAAAATGTGACGTGGTACTTGGAGCGATGGGAGTGCAGGATACGTGACTGATAAGGCAGAAGTGTGTTGCGGAAGTTCGCAGGTATCGCAGCGCAGAGGGTGGAGGTTGCTCTGTGTGCGCGCTGCAGCAGAAGGACGCAATGCAAAAGATTTCTCCTGCGGGTGAAAGCGAATTCTAGTAAAATAGCAAATTGCTTATCACAAAGATCAATACAGGAAAAAAAAATAAAGAAAAATACTATATTTATAAGTATAGATCATTTTCTAAACCAATTTGCAGCATATTTATTAGTCTACCCTGTCCTTTTTTGTAGAACAACTGTTCTGTTTTTATACAGGTGGTAGTTAAAGGTCTATTTGTGTTTATTGCGCTTTAAGCTACTTTAAAATCACTTGGGAGGGCACAGATTCGGGGGGAAACACGGATCTCTTTACAAGTCAAGCTTAATTAGTTGGGTTGGCAGGGTTGCAGAATTTCATTTATTTAAATGTTTTCAGCTTTGATTGATTCAAAATTGCAAACTTTGAGAATAGCAAGCTCATAAAGTGTTTCAGTGTGTCCCAGAAATGGAGAATTTACCAGACTCACTGCTGAAAAAATAACAGGTTTTTCTCCCCAGCTCCTAAAACGATGTTTACTTGATGATTTGGCACGTTAACGGGGCAGATGGTACATCCGTAGGAGCAGACCCATTGGGTGAGTAACCAAATAGCTGCGATTACCATGCCAGAAATCTAACTTGCAGGCTGTAAAGATTATAGAAGTGATAGACCATACCTAAAGGCTATATATAGTGTATACTATACAACCAGGTATAACGTAGGTCCTTATATAGGCTATAAACAGCCCTAACACCTCAAGGGGTGGAAAAGCTGTTGCAGTGGTCAAGAGGTGATTTCCCAGGCAGAAGGTGTAAGTAGACTGATAGCAAGCAGGCTGATACTCAGGTGGGTTCCTCAGTTACCTGAGGTACGTAGACTGGAAGTTCAGGGTTTTCTTTGAAGTTGTATTGCTTTTTAATATATAACATAAAGTGTACACATAATTTTTTTTTTAAAAAAAAGTAATATGTCTTGAATTCCTGAAAATGATGATCTGAGGAGCTCCCTGTCTCACTTTCAAAAAAAAATCTTTCATGTTGTGGCATCGGATTTTTGTCCGTCGAACAGGAGTGAAAGAAGTTGCTAAGAATGGTAATACTGACAGTCAACCGGAGCGTATTTCGCAGAGCAGCTTTTCTAAAACCTGTTACAAAGCCAAAAGCAACTTCGGTAGCAGACAGATGATTTGTACAAAGGTGTGCAAAATCCCAAACCTGGCACTGTTTCAAAGCACCTCGATGAAGCTTAGTTGCTTCCGTTTGTCTCTCTGCCTGCTGAAACTAGCACTCTTAGAATAATAATAATGAAAAAAACTGAAAGAAAAAATACAGCAGTGATACCCAGAACAGTTTGGTGTAGAGAAAGGATTCTCCTAACCTAGCCACTGAGCTTCAGTGTGACTGAATTCTGTCAGAGCTGGTGGTCCGTTACCAGGAAGCTCCGTTCCGTAAGGACACGGTCTCTGAAACTCTCCAGCTCCGATGGAGCGAGCGCATGGCCAGCCGTCACAGCCCGGTGGGTCTGGTTAGGAATGAAAGGGAAATGCCTGTAGTAAAATTTCCATTGCTTGGTTTGTATTTATGTACTTGCTAATACAAGAAACTGATGATTATTCTGCCTTTTTAAAAAAATAAAAATCTGTGAATGCATGTGAAACTTTATCCCAAAAGGATTTTGCCATCAAAACTTTGTTTGGAGGAAAGGAAGTTTAAACGTGTTTCCTCTCCTCGCAGGTGGGATAGTAGCTCTCAGTTATTAAATTAAGAGGAATATGATAAGTGATTCTAAATGACCACTGACAGCCTTGTTGTTTATCAGGTTAACTCTTTGCAAAAAAACTAGATAATGAACTCTTACTAAAAATCGCCTTCTGTCCCCCCTCCACCACTGTCTGACTCCTGATCCATTTTAAATTCATAATTATTCCTCTTAAGTTTCCCTTGGCCACCAGCAGATTCGCATTCTTAGATGTCCACTTGGCGACGTCCGTTTGTCTTCCTGCAGCGTCACGGCTCTTGCGAACCCCCTCTGAGCAACCGCAGCCCTGCACAGATGACTCAGGGCCACTCCTTGCTCCTGTGGTAGGAACTGAAAGCGATAGCAGTGTTAAGGTTCACAGGTTCTATGTAATATCCAGGAAATAATGGTAACTGCAGCAAAGAAAAAACACTGCAAGGGGGTTACTCACAGTCTTACAGAGCCATGGCTGTGTGGAAAGGAACTTTTCCATCCCACGTGCTGAAGACCCTCTCTCAGTTCTGTCCTGCACCCTCTTTCAGGTTGAAGGGCTTTCCTTCACTTCTACTCCAGCTCTGTGGTGGATCCCCTTAGGTGGTTTTTCCAGCTGCAGTTCGCTGAGCCCCTGCTAGCTGCTTGGAATCTGTTGGAAAAGAGCCGAGGAGCCGGCGGGGCGCTGTGGCACAGCCGAGTCATCCGTACGGTGTTCAAAGCGTTTCACTTTGACATGTTCAGTCCTATAAATTCTTCCAGGACACCGGCCTGGGAAATGAATTTACTTTCACTTAACGTCTCTGGTAGGATATAGCCTCATCCCATCCCAGTAGAACTTGAATCCAGATTCTCCTGTTTCAAAATTGGATTATACATGCTTGACTTGGAAGTTAAGCATTTGCTTTTGAGCACAAATACAGCTTGTTTGCAAGCCTGCTAGATATCCCACAGCAGGGCTGGGGAGAGAGAGAAGGTCCTATGATACTTTATCCAGGGTGATACTAAAAATTAAATGTTGGCGCAGGTATTCTAACGCAGCGGGCTTTTGTCTTGAATTTCAGTCCAGGCACTGGTTTCTCAAGGTCTCTTTTTGTGTCCTTTTAGAAATAGCTTATTTCAGTTTTCCAGTATCCCTCCAGTAAAGTGCTCTTGCCGCAGACTTTATTGCGCAACGTGTGTGGTGATTTCTGAACGGAACAGTGCTGTGCACTGACAAAGGTGACAGTAATACCCGTCCTTCAGAGGTGCGACTTGTGGGATCTTAGGCTGAGAATAACTTCGGTTTCTTTTTCTCTCTGAATAGTTCCGCCTTCTTTGTCTCCAGGAGCCGTCTCGGGCTGTGACATTTACCAAGACAGTTCAAGTTACCCAACTTCTTGTTGAATCTGTTCCCTTAATCCTCTTGGTGTATCCCAGTTTACCCGCGTATACGGCTGAACGACATTACACCTCTTGTCTCGTCCTTGGAGCTCACTGTACTCCATTCTTCTTCCTGATCTACAGGTGGTTTTGTCCTCTTGGTTTTAAGCATGAATGTAAAAAAAACCGTGCCATCAAAAAATGTTAATACGCTATGCTAGAGTAGTGCTGGAGTGCTGACCTGTGGCTATAGGCACTACGGCGATCCCCTGGCTGCAGCTCCTTCCATTCGCCTGCAGCCTTTCGCTCCGTTTCCCTTATCCTTTGCTAAATTTTTGCATTGCCAAAGAAGTCCAGCGTTGCTGCTCCGTTTAGGAACTGCCACATCATTGAGTGAATTCAGACCCTGGGGGTAATACTCAGAAGAGTGAGGAAACTTAAGAGTCAGCAGGGAATGTCTTTAAGCTGATGCTGCTCTTACTCTGGCATTCGTGCATCCTTTGCTGCCCGTGCCCTTGCCTTGGAGTAATAGTGCCAAGACCTTTTTTAGGAATGCAAGAAAGGAAATGTGCTGTTGTCAAATGGGGTTATTTTACTTTTTTTTTTTTTTTTTTTGGATGCTTACATTTGTACCTTTTTGGCCGTAGAGATCGCTCCAGCAGTGAATTTACGCTGCGTGTGTTTACATTATGCCACTGCGGTGCCTCGGCCAGCCCTGCTGCCAGGTTGAGCGTGGGGAGATGCGAGCCGGTGCCGGGGCAGGGTCCTGTGCTGCTTTGCATCCTCAGGAATAAAACAAATTATGCACGCAGAAGGGTGGGAATACCTTGGGCTGGCTGGGAATCGCAGGATAGAAGTGGTACTAAAGGCAAGATGCTTTAGAGAAGAGAAATGCCCTTAAATGTTTACGGTGTTTACCAGGGAGCCCAGTTTGTGAAGTTACTGAAGTTTGGGTGTAAGTGCTTGGCTGAATTGGGTCTGGAGTGTCTCTGTGAAGTAAGGAGCTAGTGTCAGGGCAAAACAGCTAGAGCTAAAATGGTGTAAAATGGAAAAAAAAAAAAAAACAACCTGCACAGAAGTACCTACTCCATGAGCATACAGATGTGAATAAGCTTATTTTTGTTATTTTATTTTAAATATTGTCCAGCCCTGAAGAAAATTGTTCTATCAACTGAAAAAGGCCAGGAGAGTATTAATGACTCTTCTTCAATGCACAGTTTTTAGATGCTTAAGCAGGTGCTCTCCAGAAGTCCTTACGGAGTCTGTTGCTTGTAGCGATACCCCTTCAGAGCCATGAAAGCGGTAGAAATGGCTTCACAATCATTTAAGCTTCTGCTTTCATTTTATGAATTATTATCTGTCACCTGCTAGTAACATGTGGGTTTTTTTTTCCTTGTTCTAATGACTCATTTCCAAATACAAGCACTTGCCAGGGGAGTGGCTGCCCTCGCAGAGCAGCGCATCCTTGTTCCTCAGCCCCTGGCCGATGCGGTTTCCCCGCTTCACCGTCTCCTCTTTCAGCCAGGATGCGGCGGTAGAGCCGGCTTGGAGCCCCGGCCGAGTCCTGAGCCCGGTGTCCAGCTCAGCACCCCGCCTGCCCTTAGGAGAGGGACCAGCACTAAAGAAAACCAGTAGCAGGAGTTTAAATAACTTGTTTTTTTGCTACAGCCTTTGCCTTCTGTGGCTTTTTACTGACGTTTGCAAGAGGAAAGGTATTTGCTTCTCTAAAAAAAAAAAAAAAAAGAGGGAGTTTGAGTGCCTGAAACATGCTCTTTTTTTTAAAAAAAAAAAAGGAAACAGAAGGCAGGAACAGGCAATTTGCTGACTGCTCGCCCGGCTGAGACTGGCAGAGAGATGATGTAGCAAAAGACATTTGAGAGCAGCTGCCGTTTCCTTGCTGTCTTGGTAACTTTACAAAAGCCGATTGCCTTAACTGTTTTCTGAAGGCTACATCTTCTTGAACATGCTGAATGTGTAAGGGGGTGTCATACATACGTTTACATTTTAGAGGGTTGGATCATGTAAGAAAGTTTATTAAAAGTTGTGTAAGATGGGATTTTGATACCTGCCTCCATAGTGACTCTTTAGGACTGTTTCAAGGTAAGAGGTTTTATCTCCTAGAACTCTTTCAAACCATGGATGTAACTAAAGTTTTCAGCCTAAACTTTAAAAAAAAAAAAAATAAAAATCTGGAGCTGTTATTTTAAAACTTGTATTCTTGGCACTATAACTGAAGAAAAGTAACGCATAAAAATAAGCTCAAGTGACTGCTATTTTTATACAGGTGTGAACACCGTAGGAGTTTCAGACCATGCTCTGATCTCACTTACAAAGAAAAGGAGAAAAAAAATAAAGCGTTGTAACTGATGGGAAGCTGTAAAAATGAATAGTTTTCTACCTGACTGCTGGGAGTCCTGGCTTGAGGCACCTTCAAAGAGAAAAACCAAATTTTCACAGCTTCTTTCCTGGCTTAATAGTTCTACTTTAAACATAAATTCCTTTCCTCCCCAACCTCCCCACACCCCCATATAGGTTAATTTTTGTGTTTTGTTGTTCGGGGTTTTTTTTTTTCCAGAGGATGCGTTGACTTGGGACTATTGTCTTAGATGCTGGGCAGATCTGTTTCTAATTTATTACTCTTATTTCTATCTAAACTAGTTCAGGAAATGATTCTTTGCTATGTGCTTTTGTTCCATACGGTTATCTAGTTAAAACATAACTTTAGAAAGTAGAACCTGAAGTTGTCTATCCTCATCGTGCAATAGGGCTTAATGGACAATCTATGTATTAGAAGAAGCCTGTTGTATCTTACTCAACTTTAACTTACGGAAGTTAAATGGTTCTTCTTTAGTTTTTAAGGCATCTTTCACCTTCGGGATAAACACTAAGCATCCTCTATCAATTACCTTTTAAGTGTTTCCTTCTGTTATGCTACTGTAAGCATGTTTTATGTTTGTCTTCAACAGATCTGTGCTATGCCTAGTGCTATATGAATGTGATTGAAACTTATCATCTTGAACGCAAATAGTATTTTTTATTATAGATTGCCCCTTGATTGGACCGTGGCGCTTACTTACCGATGTTAATGTCACTCTGTTGTACCAAAGTACCCGTGGCTTCAAAAACATACTGTCAACTGATTCACTGGTGTCTGGGTTTGTGTAATACAGCTGAGGAATGTATCCTGTGACTCAGTTTCTGCACTGTTATTTTCAGAATAAAAGGACGTTTTTAAATGCGGTGTCTCGGCTGTTTTGGGCGGGGGGGGGAGCAGAGACTTTTCCCTAAGAGGTACAGCCTCGTTACGCAGCGGTAGCTGCATTAACCGAGTTTATCCCAGAGCGACGCTGTGTCCGAGTAATGTATCTAAGGTAAGAAAAGGAACAAACTGAAACATAGCACCTTTAAGCCTTATTTAAGGATCAACACGTTTCTTTATTATTACTTTATTTTCCAAATGCTGCTCTGTCTGCACATCAGGGATTAGAAGACAGACCAGGGACTTGGCTGTTTTCCCTCTGTGTGAAGTAAACGTGAGTGTGCAAAGCCGCTGTCCCCCCCCCGCCCCGGGGACGCCATTTAGCTCCCAAAGGCGTGCCACATCTCTCCTGACCCCTGCAGCACCTCTCCTACTTCAGGGAGGAGAAAAACCAGCCCCTTTCCCCTCCAAAAGGGATTTCAGCCGGAGGGAAGGTTCAAGGAAGAACTTCACGCTCCTGCTGACGTGGGCAGAAAACTCACTATTTGCCACGGAAAGTTTTCAGGAAAGCAAGAGCCGGGTTAACCCGGAGAGGGATCCACTCAGTTCTTGCCCGAGGAAGGACGCTGTGCCATTACGGCGCTGCTACGCCTAAACCACACCGTGCCCGCGGGGTCGAATGCTGGAGGAGAGCTGAGCCCCTCGAAATGGCAGGACCCCCGCTCCACCTCCATCCACCCTCTGCTCCAACAGCAGGCAGGAAAGCGGCGACTCTAACAAGGTACCGGGTTAGCCAAAGGTTTATTTTCAAATCTTACCTAAATGAGAGTCGCGATTAAACTGAGTCTGTGCCGCGGTCTGTGTAGGTGGCAGCCCCTTCGTGCCGGCAGGGGGCTGCGTCTCCTTCGGGCAGGTAGTGCCCTGCCGCTGCCCGCACCAGAGCTCCGGCGGTGCGGCATCCCCCAGGTACGGCCGGGGCTGCTTTTGCCATCCGGGCGGTGCGGGCGTTTGTGAGCTCCCCTCCTCTCTCCTCAGCTCTCGCCTTCTTTCCGGGTTTATTCTTTCAAGCGCAGCCCTGCAGCACCGCTTCTGCGCCACGTGTGCGAAGGCGCTTTGCACTAACGAAGAGGCCGTAGGAGTTACAGGTTGCAACGGACGGAAAAAGTCCTTCTGACAAAGGTAGGAGACAAACATCCAGTCGTTCTTTTAGCTCTCGTGCTTCCTTAGCCTGGTGAGCATCAGGTAAGGGGATGCTCCAAAAGCTCCAAAATTTGGCGGGGCACTGCGGAGCGAAGCACAAGAAGGTTGCCATCGCAGACACCCTCGCCTGCCCGAGCCAGGCTCAAACCCCCTGCAACCGTACGTGAAACAAGTCGGAGATTTATAACTACGGCCCTGGATGTGGAGGGGCTGATTTCAGGTGCCCGCTCTGCTAACTGAGAGCAGAAACTTGCGTCCAGATCTACTAGAGCAAAGGACTGGATTCCCCCAGAAAAGGCTCTGATTTAATCTCGAATGGATGTACGAGCGTCTGAGATGCCCTTGGTCGATGTCCGTCTGGGCTGGACACCTGCACGGGAGTCAGGACTTGGGCTGCCACCATCAGCTACTAAGTTTGAAGCAGAGCTTGTGGTTTTCCTCTCCTTTCTAGAGAAGATAGGTTCTGCAGGATGAAATTTAGTTGTTCCCAGCAAGGCCTGACTCAGCTCACGGGGACACCGGAGGAGACCTGCAAGGGGGCTCGGCCCTTCCCGTGCCCTGCGGTACCCCCCGAGGTACTTACTCGGTCTGGAGAGCTTTGGAAGCGATAGCCTTGGGCTGGCTAGACCAGAACTCTAGTCTGTCTTTCAGTTCTTTATTCTGCAAGGAAAAAAAATATAAACCAAACCCCTCTCAGCAGAAGGGAGCAGACGAGAGACAAGCCTGGATGCCAGCTAAGACCCACCGCTTGTCCACAAAGGGTTTTGTGGGGATTATTTTTTGCATTTGGGGTTGGTTTTGGTTTTTTTAAACCAAGAGAAAAATGTCAGTGGCGTACGGACACAAACCCAGCAGCATGAAGGGCCCCCGATTGTAGGGAACTACTTTTGCTCTCCCTTCAATAGCTTTTTTACTTTCCTTACCTGCGCTTCCAGCGCAGTCAGCTTCCCTGTCAGGTTTTCTATTTTTTTATCTTGGTTTCTGAGTTCATTGTTGAGTTCCTCTGCCTGAGAGTTAGGAAATAAAGTTTCTAAGAGATTTGAAACCTTAATACATCAAAACCATCTCTGTGTCAAACAAAAACCACAGAGTTTAATTTTTGTTGTAGGCTTTCTAGGATGTCAGCCTGTGGGCTTTGGCTTCAGGGCAGGTGCCTCCAGAGGAGCATCCCCGGGTCAGACAGGTCCCCGCGGGGAGCACGGCAGGGAGGGGGGAGCCAGATCCCCCCCGAGAACGCTCTACGAGAACTCAGGGGTCTACCCGAAATCGCTGACTCCACCGCAATAATCCCATTTTTAGGGATGCCGTTTCCACCTTAACGCTGCAATGAGTATGGATGTCTGAACGCGGGGTGCACGACGCCGGGCGCAGCTTTGGTGGCATCCAAGCTGCTCCTCCCCAGCGCGCGTGCTTTAAGACAAGAGCCCGACGTCTCCCGTTTCTTTTCCCGACGGCTGAAGACCTGCCCGGCGGGACGCCAGCCTGACCTCTCCTATCACGCCGCGCAGGCCGTGGTGCTGCGCCTGGATCACGCGCTGGAGGTGGAGGATCTGCTCCCGCAGGGTGGAAATCTGCCTCTGGAGATCCAGGCACCTGCGGGCGAGAGCAGAAACACCCCGGGATCAATCCCCCACCTCAGGGTCAGCTCCAGAGCTTGTCGCTAGCAAGGATGTTCCTGAGGGTACACGGCCGCGATTCACACAGAACTATCGATATCAAGGCTTCTTTGGTGAGCAAAACAAACAAAACCGTAGTTTGAGATGTATTTTGCCTGGTAGGACCACCCTTACTAGCTGTCGATGAGTGAATTGATAAACAATGAAGGTTATTGCCGTACCTACTGCACGTGCAATGTCACCAAAGCAACGTCGACTCCAAGCGAGAATCGGGAAAGGGAAGGAATTAGGGCATGCAAGGTGGGAGGAAAAGTACCAGGAATATCAACTTCTAAGAGCTGTAGGACATCAACATCTGTTTTGGTTTCTTCAAGCAATCATAGTAAATCGGGTTTTGAACCGGTTGCTTTCATCGTGGGTAATTTTACTACCAGAAGGAACTTGAGCAAGTGATTGTCTGGTGCTCTACGTGAAATAATCCCCCAGAAAGACAAACACTTCAGCACGTGGATTTACTCACCGTTTGCTGTCCTCATTCCTTGACATCATCTCTTGAAGTGTCTTTTCAAATGCCATTTTCTTCTCTATCAGAGTTTTCTTTTCCTAAAGAAACAATTCGAGTTATACAAAAAACTCTTATTACATTTCCTGTCATTCAATTAGCAAGAGAAATTTGGCTGTACCTTCAACGGTTCCACTCAGCGTCTGAAAACAGACAGAATTCAGCATTAACCACCCAAACCAACCGGCATCAATATCAGGTGGAGCTACGAAGCAGCCTGACCTCTCCGAATATGAATCCGGAAGGGATGACAGTACCGATTTATCCCGAGAAAAATCCCAACTCTCTTAAACTACCGGTTCTCTCCTTTACATAATTAGCAAAACCCTTAAAATTCAGAGCCTTTAGTTTTAGAACGGCACTTCTATAGGAGTAATTCCCGCCGCGCGCATCAGAAGAACGACGCGCGGTGCCATCGCGTCTTCCAACGCAACTACCGCCACCAAAGAAAATTCACAATAAAGGAGAAGTTTTCTGCACGTTTCTGTGCCAGCAGTCGTCGGCTTGCCACAACAATCGTTTGCTTGATATTTTCGGATGCTTAGAGGGGCATTTGTTGGAGGGTTAAGAAGGAGCAGGTTTTAGCGCTAAGTTTTCATTTCAAATGCTAGAGGTACGCCGATGGGGGAAGGGGAAAGAGCAGCTCTTTCGGAATAGAAATCGTTAAGAGCCACAAATTAAGACTTCTCCCTGGTGCTCTCCCAGGTTCCTCGCCTGCGCCGACTCCGGGTGCCAGGCGAGAGGGACACGAGGAGCGGGCGGACGTACCTCCTCCATCCTTCGCACGCGCCTCTCCATCTCTACGACGCGGGTACGTTTTTCCCCGATACTTTCGGCAAGGCGACCGGCGTTAGCGGAGCTTTGCTGGAGCTTTGCTTCTTGTTGGAGGTTGTAGGCCTGGGACCAAGAAGGACGTTAACGGGGACGTGCTGGGAGCTGGTCAACGCAACAGATGGACGCTTGAGGAATTTTGAGCTAACTCTACCGACCCCGATACCAAGAAGCAGGAATAAAACTATTCTTATTTTTCATTTATCCTGTTTAACTTCCCCGCCGCGCTAGCAGAAGAGACTCAGTAGCTCCTCGGTTGAATTTTGCAGCACAGCGAGCCAAAGCCCAGGTAAATATTTTGATAGCGAGCGGGATGGTCGTCCCCACTGGCAGCCGGGGAGGGGGGGTGTGTGTGTGGAAATTTGTACCTGTATTTGCTGCTTTTCATTCTCGTGGCCTTTTTTCAGTTCTTCTGACCGAGTCCGGTAGTTCTCACGCAGTTGTTGGGAGGCAGATCTGAGAGCCTGTGCACCTGCTTCTCTCGTGGCTTCCAGCTAGAAAGAGTAATTGTAGGATACATATATATTTGGGCTTTAAACAAAGTGATGTTCTAATCTCATGCTGAAAAAATAAGCCCTCTGTATAAGATCAAATGTCAGTATTTACCCTCGTCAAAAGAAGAGAAAGGAATCCTAAACACCTCTGGGCACTATCTGACAGGCAGTTTAGTTTCCAGATAAAGGCAGATTTACTCAGTACTGAGCCATCCCCGATGGCTTAAAAGGAGACACGCACTTCCAACCGCTTGGAAATACATCCGCTGCCAACTACTTCCAAATGGGATGCGTCCCCAGAAGCAGATTTTGATATAAATTTCATTGCCTGCTGGAATGAAAGTTTGGAGCAGCCGGGGAAGCGAAGCGGAATCTGCCCCTTCCCCGAAGCAAAGGCTCCGGCACGCGATCGCTGAGCGGGCACCGTGCTGCGGCAACCGAGACCCGACTCTGAGCTGCGAGGCAAGCGTGTTCACCTAAAACCCTAAAACCCAACCCAAACGCACCTTGATCTTCAGCACTTGGTTCTCCCTGCTCACCACCAGCAGCTGCTCTTCAGTTTCCTTCACCGTCCTTGCAACAGGGCTGCAGCTCCAGCCGCTGCTCTTCGACTCCGCTCTATCGCCCGCGGCTTGAGGAAGCTGCTAAAGGAAATGCACGCCGAAATTCTTTTAAAAGCTAATAGAAAACCAGCTTGAGCAATCAAGCTGGCTTTTTACAAACACCCCTCTCCGGCTCGCCCAGGGAGCGAATTCTCCGGGGAATCGAGTCCGGCACAGCTCCTCCACCTCCACGAATGAACTGAAATTAAAACATTCGGCTTTTTCAGCTCTCCGGGGCTTTACGTTGGAAAGCATTTGCATGTCCATCCTGATAAATAACTCTTCCGCTCTCTACAGTGTTTTTTCCGCAGGTAAAAGCTTAATTAGCTTTTGGATTATTGCAGCCTACGTTGCATTGTAGGCGAGGCTGGATGAATGCACCTTGAGTAATTGTTGTCCAACACTTCCCGTTAAAAGAACTACTTCTTACTCCAGGAATACAACATTTCCAAATCCGTTTGCTTCCTAGGGGTTGCCTCTTTGCTTAAAACCACTTGCTTGAAGTCATTTTAACTTGCTTAAACCGTTTTTTTTGCCCTCCCGTAGACGTTCACAAACGTTTGCTCGCCGCTTGCCTTCTGTCTGCTTTGCAAGTTCCGGGCAAGGAACACGACCTAAAATCCCTCAGATTTATGCCAGAACGCACTGGCATTTATACGGCCTTTCTTAAGTCACACCAAGTTCATTCGTTAAAAATAAACTCCTACAAACAATGGGCAGTCTGTACTTTTTAAAGGGTTTGAGTCATAAATCACTTTTCACTACAGAGGCTTTTCTTCAGCCTCGCTCCTCAACTGAATAGAGAAAGGAGTAAGCATTTTTTTTTTTTTTAAAAGGAACTTTTTGTGATCGATTATTTCTTAATTAGCCGCGTTTCAGCCCACTGATCCTCCCCTCTCTCATTCTGCAGCGCTCTCCTGGGATACAGAAAAACCGCCTCTGCGTGTTATCATCACCGCGCTCCGCTGCGTACGGCAAAGAAATAAGAGAGCAGGTCTAGCGGGCTGAGCCTCATCGCTCACGAGATCTCTTATGGGGAAAAAATAAAAGAAAAAGGCACGTCTTCACGGTGGGGTCGGATCAAGCAGGGCACCACGTCCCAGGCCCTTCACAAGCCGCTCTCACCACCACAGAATATAAGTTTTTTCACAGTAATTGCTTCATGTGAACAATTTTGGATTCTGAGATGCTTAAGGATTCATTACGAAATTTTCAAAGTTACAGTACTATTCTGCAACTTTGTCAATTTAATTGTAAAGGGAATGAAACAATCTTTTCTCTTCCAACTTAAACTAAAAGTTCAAGGTCTTCTCTTCTGTCGTCACACACAAAAGTTTGTTAAATGCACTCATTAAACTCCGTTCGCCCTGCGTTTCCTCTGGCATTCAGAAAAGGAACACCTCGAGACTGTTCCACACAAACCTACTGTATGCCGTGCTCTCCGAGGCGCTCGCGCTTTGCCGACTGACACCTCCAGCATCTGCCTGTCCCTTGGGTCAACCTCCACCTCCCGAGACACTCGTCCTCTGGGTACCCCGGACCCTCGTCCTCCAGGAGCCACGGACCCTCGTCCTCCAGGACACCAGGA